TGCGTGAGGGTGTTGCCTGCTCTTGTGGTCATTCTTCTCACCCCTCTGTTTTTGCACTGCCGGATGCGGGCGTCGCACGGTGTGTCCTGGCGCATGACGGACGGTGCTACGATGGCCTCCTCTGGCAATGACAGTCGCTGTGCGTTGTCGGCACACATCCACACACTCTTCCCTGTTTCTCTGTGGGAGTGATTGCAACAGGAGCGTGGTCTACGGCAGTGGCAGCTGCTGCTCTGGAGGAGGACGGGGTGCCGAAGGAGGAATAAGAGGGCGAACCCGCTGGATGAGCTGCCACTGATCCCGTTCTTGCTGGAAGCGTTAAACCGCGAGTACAGTAAGACGGACACTCGGACGGTTGCTGCTCCGCATTTCTTCCAGCACTGCGGTGCCGCCGGCCACACGTCTTTTTGGTGCCACAAGCAGAAGGACAAGAAGCTGCAGTGCATGACGGCCAACCTGATCGGCATTTGGTTGCAGCGCATGGGGCACGTGCGCCAGTACGCGTTGGGTGTTGCGCTCGTGATTGTGGAGGATAGGCGGCACGACGTTGTGGCGCTGTGTGTGTTGCGCGGCTGGGGCATGCCGGCGATTGTGGAGGACACGGAGCTGTTTGACTGAGAGGAGGTGGCGTACGTTGCGGAGCAGCGGGGGCACATGACGGACTGCCTGAGGAGGGGCGCGTGTTGAAGCGAGCGTGGCGCGCCTGTGAGGGCCTGAGGAGAGGGAATAACAGTAATGGTGACTTTGGGAGCGTGAGGAACGGGGCAAGAGCGGGGAGCGCTCCTCTTTTGTTTTGATTGTTGTTGAGCGGCGTCCACCTAATTGTTGTTGTTGTGGTGCGTGACTCTCGTCGCTGGATAGGACGGTGCGTGGTTGTGTGACTTGTCTATTCTTTTTCTCTTCTTTCACTCTGCGTTGACGGGGAGTTGGTTTGTGCTGAAGGCTGCACGCAAGTGACGGGAGTGATGATGGCGATGATGATGACTGGCCGTGTGCTGCTGGTGTGTGCTCTCTGCGTGCTGTGGTGCGGTG